CAGGCCCAGACACCTTCCACTCACTACCCACTGCTCTCTTGCCACTTAGCCTACATACAGGATCACCTTGGAGCTTCAACTTAGACCCACCCATGGGGCACACTTGGAAATGCATCTAATATACCTATCATGGTCAAGGGGCAAGGATAGAAGACTTCGATATCTAGGGTCCAGGCAGGAGATGGTGCACCATGACCCCACAAAAGGGCAAAGCCATGAGTGTGATCCTCCCAGGGTCCCATTGCCAAGGCAAAGGGTTCTGTACTGCCTTCCACAGCTCAGTCCATCCTGTGACCTCAAAGCTGGCCATGGTTCAGGAGGTTGAAAATAAGACAGAACTGCTCTTAGAAGGCAAGTAGGAGGACCTAGGCAGCCTAAAATCATGGCCCTGTGCCTAGAGTGGTGCAGAGAGGGCAAGGGGCTCAGGAATCCACAGGTGATTTGCTCCTCAGGCCTCTGATGGGTGTTAAGGAATGTCCGCTCACAGCAGGCCCCTCATACCTGCTTGTCCCTTGAAATCAAAAAGGCTAGCTCCGGTGTCTATCTGCTTCTCATACAACCAGTCTAGCTGACACCCATGGTCACAGGGGACCACATGAGGATAAGTTGAGAGCAACCTACCAGAGGCCATCCAGGGACAAGGATGGGGAGTGGCCTCTGCTCCCTCCTCCCAGCTCCAGCTCTCTGCAAGTCTTTACCGGAGCAAGACCTCTCCTGTGAGTTGCACTGCCAGGAACCAGAAGAGCTTCACACACACACACACACACACACACACACAGAGTCTGTTCCTTAGAGCACCCTCAGCTAAGGCAGGATGAGGCAGCATCTGCAGCTTCCCAGCTACCATCTGTCCCTCCCTATGTTGAGGGGGCAGAGTGCAGAGAGGATCAGAGAACATAGGGTCCTAATTCCCACCCATGTGGAATTGCAGTACAATGGAGGAGTTCCCTGCTTCATCTCTGGCCTTTGATTCTTTTCTGTGATATAAGGAGTCTCTTTTACTGAGTGAGGTCACCTGCATAGTCAGACTACTCTGAGTTTCCAACCTCTGTGCTCTGATCTCATTGGAAAAGACCGAGACAATCACAAAGAACCTGAGCACAATCCAAAAAGAAATTCCATTTCCCTGTCCTGGAGTCCAGTGCCTGGGCTGGTTTCACCTGAGAGTCAAGGGATCCCTGGAACCTGCAGTCAGATCCTCAGTCAGCTCTGCCTCTATCCCTGGTCTTCAATTCCCTCCAGAACCATGAGCTGTTATTTCTCACACTGAGACCCCTCTGAGTCTTTAAGGACAAGGTCAGGACTTGAATTTGCAAGTCCCTGTTCTAAAAGCAACAGACTCCTCAGAAAAGCCTGGGTAAGGTGATGAAGCCCTTGGCCCCTTCTTAGTGGACTGACAGAACAGACTTAAACCCAGATCCATCACCTCCACATCAGCCTCTACACAGGTGAGAGTTCAGAGGTACAAGTGCCTGTGCTCGTGAGTGTTCCTATGTGCACCACTGTGTATGCACTGAATGTGTTTGAGAGTTTGTGTGTGCCTGCATATACTTGTATGTACCTCTATGTGCTTGTATATATGCCTGAATTTATCTGTAAGCATGCACCTGAGTGTGTCTGTGTTCTGATGTATAACTGTATGTGTACCTACATGTGTCCCTGAACATCTGTGTGAACTTGAATATGTACCTGCATATCTATCTGTTCACTTTGCTGTGTACCTACATGTGTGCCTGAGCATTTGTGTGTACCTGTGTATCTGTATGTGCACCTGCGTATTTGTGTTCACTTACCTGTGTACCTATGTCCCCCTGAGCAACTGTGTGTACCTGTATGTACACCTGTGTACAATCTGTCTGTCCACCTGCATGTGTCTGTATGCACATCTGCATGAGCCTGTACAAATGCCTTATGCATTGATGTGCATCTACATATGCCTCAGTCTGAGTATGCTGGGAATCTATACATATGGCATGAAGGTTAGCGTAGTTCTGACTCAGAAACTCTGACCTGTATGCCCTATGAGTGAACCTAAGTTTAAGGATGGGGTTTATAATTAGGTGTTAGGTTGGGAGGAACACATGTATCACATGTAAACCTCATGGGGACCAGTCCATGGCATCTCCAAGTGCAGAAGCCTGGAAGCTCTGCTGTTCCAGGCTCAGCAGCCAGTTCCTCAGCACCCCATAGCCTCTCAACAGCAGAGAGCAGGACCTTCTAGTTTGTCCCCAAATGTCTATGTGGCAGAAATTTGGTCTTGCTGTTGTGAATCTAGTAGTGCTTCCTATCACATAAGGCGACAGTTGCTCCATCTTTCAGAGAAAAAAGCAACTGGTATTTGTCTGGTGAGCAACAGATCTGATTAGACACCAGTTGTTGTGGGTCAAAGGGGTCATATTAGGGATATGGAGTGGCCCAGTTGGGGCTTTTCCTAGCTCATCTCCCAGAAAGGCCATTCAGAGATAGCAGAATCTGGGATCAAGCTCTGCAAAGAGAGGGACTCTATACCCTAGGCCTGACCTGATAAGACCCTCCCAGAACACCACGCCTAACCCCACTAAGGACACCATACCTGACCTGCTAAACTCTTCCCAGATGACCAGACAACCTGCTTAAACTTAAAGTTTAAGTTGCACGTTGCTCCAACAGACCCACATCTTGGCAGTGAGCTTATCCTCAGACAGCTTAGGACTGGCACTTGCAAAGCCATATACCCCACCTGGTTCATGAAGCCAGTAAGGCAGGTAGGTTACTTGTGGGATTCCCTGTCTTCAGAGCTTGCCTTCCACCTATCCTGTGTGCAGATGGGACAGATATAGTATCTGCTATGGTTTGTTCCTGTAGCCCAAAGGGGTCCTGCCATGAACCCAATTGATAAAAGAATCTGGGTTTGTGCAGAAGTGGTGTCCTGTCCAAAGTCACAGACAAAAAGAAGGAGCGGATGTAAGTCCAGCTTCTATCCTAGAGCTCTGCTGCATCAGTGGTCTCTTCAGGGCAAAACCTGCACATTCCTGCCCCACCTTGCTCCAACACTGAGCAGCATGTTGGACTGGGGTTGGGGCACAAAAGACCTGGGACAACAGAGGTGTTATCTGGGTAATCTGAAGACAAGAATGAAGTCTCAGGGGTCAAGGGAGAAAAACTACCTTCCCAGGAGCCCATCTTACATTGTTCTTGCTCCAAGGGCCTCTTCATAGAGGGAGAGTAGCTACCCCAGGAGGATTACTTATTGACCATTATCAGAGGGTCCTGTAGAAGCCTCTCTACTCTAGGTTCAGTTCTGAGGCTCAACTTGGCCTTTGGTCTAGGAGTGCCTTCCTAGGACTCCTAGGGACTGTAGAATGAGTAGAGGCTATATTCTGTGCTGGTCATTGGCTGTGTTGATTGACAGCTCTCTGGAGATAGAATGAAAGTGGAGAAGAGTGTGGAGTTTCATCCTCTGCCATACCTGCTCAAATGTGTTCTCCCTAAAATAAGCCAGTATATTCAGAAAACTGGCTGGATTTTCCTTTGCAGTTTTATGAGTGTGTATGAAGGCCAGCCAAGACACTAACCAGAAAGATAAGTAGACAAATTTCCAAACAATCCAAGTGGATAGGTGTATTTCTTTACTTATTTTAATATCCTTATGTGTATATGTGTTCATGTTCACATGTGTAAGTGCAGACACATATATGCTGAGTCTCAAATGTAAAAATCAGAAGACAGGCACTGGAGAGATGGCTCAAAGGATAAGAGTACTAGCTGCTCTTGCAGAGGACCCAGGTTCAGTTCCTAGCACCCATGTAGTGGTTAACAACCATCTATAACTCCAGTTCTAAGAGATCCAGTTCCCTCTTCTGGCCCCCATGGGAGGCATTGCACGCACATGGTATACTTACATGCATGCAGAAAAAACACGCATACACATAAAATAAAAATAAAGAAATCCAAAAAAATTAAATCAAAGGAAAGCATTCTTCACTTTGCTTAAGACAAGATCTCCTATTCACTTTTACAAACACCAGGCTAGCTGGCCCGTGAGCTTCCAAGAATTCTTCTGTCTCTGCCTCTCATCCCACCATAGGAATGCTGGAGTTACAGGTACATGCTACTGTATCCAGCTTTATATGGGTTCTGGGGATCTGAACTCAGATTGTCATGCTCGCGTAACAAGTATTCTACCACTGAACCATTTCCCCAGTCCCAGATAGGTTTATTTTTAAACAAGTGTAAAGACCCTGGCTGGATACAGTCACATTTTGGGAGGTCTAGCCCAGCCTTGGAATCACCTGAGCCAACAGAGGGAGAAGGCCCCAACTCTTCAACAAGGTAGAAAAGGGAGCCAACTTCTGCCTTCCATGTGATTGTCTTTATAGCAGTTCTACTCTTTACAGAGCCCCTGAGTACCAACAGTACTGTAAGACAGAACTGACTCCCATTAACCCGTAGGGCAAATCTTGCAGAGTCACCCTTGCTCTAATAAGCCTGACCCTTCCCACCTCATCCACTGACTACATATTCCTACTGGTGACCTCAGGTTTCCCTCCTTGCGAACTTTCCTCAATCCAGGTCATGCACTTGGAAATAGCCTGAGCCCCCTCTCCCAATACCAGTGGCCCCTGTATGCCCATTGCTGGGCCTGAGGTAATACCAGCAGTGGCTTCTCCCTAACTCAGGGGATGTGAGCTGGGCCTATGTGAGCTGATCTAGAGTGGAAGAATGTCCTAGGCTGCCATCTTAAGTATTATTTGCTACTTCCTATAACCAGGCCTTGGAGATGGCCTCACAGTGCCTGGACATGTCCTCCAGGATGGACAGCATTTGTCTTATATGTGCTGGGCTGGGCTATCAGCTCCTAGTAACCAATAAGAAACATGCCTCCATGTTGCAGCCAATATGAACTGAGTTGTGGACAGTCTGGGATGGGTAGCACCTAAGGATGAGGTCTCCCCTGTACCCAAAGAAGCTCAGTTCAGGGGACTGCTGGCCTCTCCCCACCCAATTCTTAACCTCCTTCTACTTCCTCAGGTGAGGTCATAGATATCATGTCTACCAGGATCAACAACTCAGAGGTGACTGAGTTCATCCTAGTGGGATTTCCGGGCTCCCTGGGACTCCGCTTGAGCCTGCTGGGGCTGTTCCTGCTGGCCTACATGCTGACTGTCACAGAGAACCTGGTCATCATCACAGTGATACGTGCCAGCCCTTCATTGCACAAGCCTATGTATCTCTTCCTCAGTAACCTGTCCTTCCTGGAGGTGTGGTACATCTCTGTCACTGTGCCCAAGATGTTGCTCAGCCTGGTCTCACCTAAATTCCAGCACATCTCCTTCACAGGCTGCATGGCACAGCTGTATTTCTTCCTGGCACTGGCCTGTACTGAGTGTGCACTCCTGGGTGTCATGGCCTATGACCGCTATGTAGCCATCTGCAACCCCCTGCGCTACCCAGCTATCATGAGCCCTGGCCTCTGCAGCCTCCTGGCTGCCAGCTCCTGGTTCTCTGGCTTCACCATCTCCCTGGGGAAGGTCTTTTTTATCTCTCGCCTAGGTTATTGTGGCCCCAACATCATGAACCACTTCTTCTGTGACGTGTCCCCACTGCTGAACCTTGCCTGTTCTGACATGTCAGTCGCAGAGCTTGTTGACTTCCTCCTGGCGCTGCTCATTCTGCTGGGGCCACTGATACTCACTGTCTTCTCCTACATAGCCATCCTCAGCACTGTGCTGCATATGCCATCTGCTGATGGCAGACAGAAGGCCTTCTCCACCTGTGCCTCACACTTGGCTGTCGTGGTCATCTTCTATTCTGCCTCTCTCTTCATCTATGCTAGGCCACGTGCCATCTACTCTTTTGACTACAACAAGCTTGTGTCAGTGGTCTACACAGTGCTCACACCCCTGGTCAACCCAATCATCTACTGCCTAAGGAACCAGGAGGTCAAGCAGTCCCTGCACATGGTGCTGCAGTGGGTAGCCCAGGCACTGGGAGCTTCCTCCTAGGAGAACCCATCTATCTCCAACCCCTCCCAGCCCCATACCTGCTCACCACTTCACCAAGGCCAGACTGAGTGAGAAGAAAGGTTGGACATCCCCCCGATCCCCAGCCCCTGAATCTTGTTCATGATGACTGCACAGTTTAACTACCCCAGTGTATCCCTGAAGTCCCAGGCCAGTACCCTCTCAGGAGCCTTCACCCTGACCCATGCAAGAGCTTGCTCAAGTCAGGGCTCTTTCCAACTAACTGTGGTCAACTCACACCTGTAGCAATGGGCTTCTCATCTAAGGAGAGTAGAGCAGACTATGGCACACAAAGTTCCAAATGAAGATGTCAGCACACAGATCTGGCCCCACACACCATAGCCAGCAATAACACCAGCAGCAGGCTTGATTCTCACCCCTAATAACTCAGTTCCGGTGGTTTCTGCTGGGAGGTTTGCCTTCTAGCTGAAAAGGTCTCATCATAGCTATAAGTATAATAGGAAAGGGGGACAAATGGCCTGGGAAAAGAAGATGAAGTAGGTAGGACTGGGTGTGACCAACAATGTTCCTAAACAGAAGCAGCCAGATGTGGGCAGCACTAGCCCAAAGACCTCTGCTGGTCACCACCTGGCTGCTGAGAGACTCATCTCTATATCTGCAGTGGGGAGGTAAGAGCCCTACCGCTATGTCGCCAGGCATGGGTGGCCTTCCCTATAGACTGATGAAGGAGCAGGTATGCAAGAATAGGTGCCTCCACATCAAAATTCACAAGCACGCCTTTTTTTTCCTTTTTTCTCCTTTTTTATTGAGTTTTGTGCATTACATATAATAGATCTTAATCAAATTTAGACCCCCTCCCACTCCCCATTCTCCATTGCCCCCCCTACCAGATTTCAAGTATTCTGCCATATATGTTAAGTCCTATCCAGTCAAGCATTTTTACCTGATATCCCTCCTATATTAAGCACACTCTTTTCTAAACACCTGTAAACTTGTCTTCCAAATACGAAGAGTGGAAACTGGCTCATTGATTCATCATTTCAATAGTAAAACATGTCAAGTGCCATCCCTGGCTACATTCTGCCCAGCCTCTCAGACCAGAGGATCAGGCAGCCCACAGCCTGGCTCCAACACTGAAAGTCAGGGCCTGGTGCCTACCTCCAGTAGGTTCTGCTAGATGCCAAGGCCCTGGGTGGGAAATATGCTCTTGAGATTGGATGGGCATTTGTGTAACAGTACAACTAAGTATGGAGGCCCACAGACCCATAGGGACAAGAATGCCAGGCCTGGAGCCAAAAGCCTGTGACACAGACTAGCTAGGGTCCTTAGTGGCCCCAAAGCTAATCTGACCTCCCGCTGGAGACCGGGTCACCAAAGCATTTTTAGCAGAGCAGAGATATGGTCAAGTTTTTATTATAGATAAATTCTTCTGAGGTGAACAGAATAGAACCAAGCAAGAGGTGAGACAAGGAGGCAGGGAAGAAAGGGCACTAAAGGAGGACAGAGCTGGAGATGGTCAGAGGGGACGAGGCAGAGGTAGCACCATCCAGCACTTGTTGACTATTGGGATGAGTAAAAATTAAGAACTAAGGACAATATTCCAAGGACAGAGGGGCCCAGAAAGGAGTGTAGGGTGCCCTGGCAGAGGAGGTTGTGATTCTTGCTCATTTACTGTGATGGAGGAGCTTAAAAGGGCTAAGGCAGACCCTGAGCAGCCAGAAGTTCTAGGAACAACTTGTCATTCCTAAATGAGACCCACCTTTGGGGCCGTACGCTGGGGCTCCTCTTACTCTGTCCAGGATCAATTCCAATCCTACAATTCACCAGTTACAGAATTCTAAATAGACAACCACTGCCTACTATAGGTTTCATACACACTGAAACCCTACCTGGTGCTCACAGCTGCTAGTCTTCCTTAAGTAGTAACACCCTATTATGTGGACCCCTCTGAGAGAATATCTTCTCTATTCCATACTACCAGTGATTTGGAAGTCCTGTCCCTCACCAGCCCACTCATGCCCAGAACCTGACCCACCATGTGCTATTAGGTCCCTGGTTGTCCATAGGGTGAGCCCCACAATTCTTATCAGGACCAGAGAGTGTGCCTCACACCTCCCGCACTGGGGTCCCCTCATGGCATATATCACTCACTGGGAACAAGCCTGACCCATCTGCACCTGTTGGCCCCAGTCATCCACACTTGAGGACCATTCACTTGGACCCCCCCACTCATCAGCTTGTTTCCAATTGGCATGAAGAAATGCATCCTATAAACCAGGCTGACTCCCAGAGGATATCAGGTCTCCCAGAGTTGTCAGAGCCCATGTACTTGTCTGGCACCATGGGGCCAGGTTCACACTCATTCTGTTTACCTGCTGTCTAGAGTAGATATGCGTAGCAAAAGTAAAGGCCCTGGGAGGATAAGAACATGGGTGGTGGGAGCCCCTGATATGGAAGAATAAAAGTGATTAGTGGATGGCAGGGGCAGCTGGCTGTCCTGGAAGCTGCTCTGCAGAATGGAGGAGTGAGTCTGCTAGCTGGACATATTTAATCAGTTCCTTCCTCACCCCAAATCTGACAAAACCCAGCCCTGACACAAGTAAACCCCAAAGACAGTGAGCCAGGAGCCAGGAGGTCCTGACTTGGGTGGCCCAGACCTCTGAAGGCAGAGGGACAGACCTCAAGTGGTTTCTGCCAGCTAGATCCCATCCTACACCAGGCCTCTTGATATCAGTGGTAGCCACTTCCAGGCAGAAGCCTAGAAGATGCGTCTCTGGGGAATCTGGCTTTCCACAGTTAAAGGATTAAGAGTCCTGACAGCTGGGGCCTCTAGCTGAATGCTTCTGCCCCCTGCAGTCAGTATCTCAGGTGTATCCAGCATAAGCTCAGAATCAAGGTTATCAGACTTTAAATAAGAGTCTGTATCAGGGAAGGCAAAGAGTGCCAGAAGAAAGTGGAGAGAACAGAAGAGAGAGAAAAAAAAAAAAAACTTCATAAACACCTGCATAAAAAGGACATTAAAAACTGCAGATTATGTGCTTTACACAATCTATATTCAATAGGACATGAAGGGAAACTGGGAAGGAGAATGGAGAGGGATATTCATTTAGACAAGAACAGAAAACTCTTGAAACTGAAACCATGAATGCAAAGGATCACAGGACTCAGTAAGGATCACAGGAATAACTGAAGTAATCGTACCAAAAAGGGATGTGGACTATGAGCATAAACGTGTTTTAAGAGCAAAGAATTAGCCCAGGAGATACAATATCTAGCCAGGAGGAGTTCCAGAATATTCAGAAGATGAGTACACAGGTTAGCCCTTTCTAGGACAATCAAGAATATAATAATCTTAAATTCAGCAATAAGTAAAAGTCAAGAAGAAATGACAGGCTGTAAAACAGGAAAGGCAATCCTGTAACCACAAGACTCTGTCAGTCAGCAACCCTGGAAACCCACCCTGCACATGGTGGAAGTCTAGCCATGTGACTCCATATTCCACTACTACACCTTAATGTTACAACTAGGATCCTAAGTTGTCCTGGATCCAAGGGCATTGGGTCCTATCTGGCTCATCTTCCTTCCTAATGGCAACTATGCATTCTTTTATGGAGCACATGGACATTTATCAAAATAAAGCTATATTGTAAGCCATTAAAGAAATTCCAAATCTGGGGCTGGAGAGATGGCTCAGCAGTTAGGAGCAGTGGCTGCTCATGCAGAGGACCTAGGTTTAATTCCCAGCACCCATATGGTGGCTAACAACTGTCTGTAACTCCAGCTTCAGGGTATTCAATGCCCTCTTCTGATCTCCACGACTATTGCATAACACAGGTGCACCTACCTACATGAAAAGCAATATACTCATACACATAAAAAAGTAAAATAATAAATAAAAAAAGAAATTCCAAATGTAAAATAGAATTAAAAGTAGTCTATGGTATATTTTCTGAGCACAGCACAATTTAAATAAAGATCAATTAAAGAGGAAACCTTTCTAGAAATTTTTCAAATACTCAGAAACAATATGCTTCTAAATTACCCATTAACCAAAGCAGAAATTAGAACACGCTTTGAGGTTACAATGAAAAACACATAAAAAATTATGAGATGTTACTAAAGCAGTGCCTAGAGGAGATGTCATAACACCATGGGCCTATATTAAAAAAGCAAAGAGGAGATCTGGCTTTGGTAGGCTAAGGCTGAGATCCTAGCAGACAGCCTGAGAGGGTGGGTTTGGACATCCATTGGGGTAGCAGCTCTGAGCTCAGCAGACTGCCAGAGAGTTCTGGCCCCCCTCTGGCCTCCCTCTGGCATAGGGTTGACAAAAGCACAGAATTGCCTGAGAGAGCCTGGATCCTGCCCCATGTGGTGAATGAAGCCTGAGTGTACCTGACTGGAACCTGAATTGGGTTTCTGTGGGTACCCCTGAATAGCTAATCTGAAGCCATCAGTTCCCTCCAAAATAAATCTGAGAGAACCTGAACCCTGTACCAACCAGCTTTACATAACCAATAAAGAAAGGATCTAGGCACCCAGAAATCATGACAAAAGAATAATAAAATGGAAAGCCAAAACACTATGTCCTCCCAAACTCCACCAATCCTGTAGAAGAGTTTTACAAGGAGAACCCCCTAGAGATAACCCAGGACACTGAAGTTAAAAGAACAATCATAAACATAATCAAGGAATTCAGTGAGTTTAAAGTGCATGAACAAACAAATCAAAGAGCTAAAAGAAGATAGGGATAAACTTCTGAATCAGTTCACAAAAGAGATAGAAACACTGAAGAAAACTCAGGCAGAAATGAAGAAGGAAGTGCAAAACTCAATAAGCCACCTTGAAACAACAGGGGAGAGCCTCACCTCTAGAATGAATGAAATGGAAAACAGAATACCAAAAATGGAAGATAAAGTTTAAGA